CCCCCCACCGATATCACCACCTGGCGACAAAGAGCGGGCTCTCACCATGGACCTTTCTTTTCTTACTTACTGACTTGCCGACTTGTCGCAAGGCATCGCTGAGCTTCCCTCCACACGATTGATCGCCCTGAATACCCACACGACCGTCGTCCTATACGCATTACGATAAAACCTTTACACTCGGGCGGTTCTCCCCCCGGGCCCTCGAAAACCTAGCCATGTCCTGGCAACCGTCGACCGACTCGCTGAGGCAGCTCGCTGCCTGCCTCAAGGATTCCCTCAGCGGATTCGACAAGAATGCGCAGAAGCAGTCTGAGCTCGTGAGTCTTTGACCGTACCTTCTTATCTGTCCCCTCCCGTCGTGGTTGGCGCGCGCTGATCATGGGTCGGTTACCTCGCCCCCCGATGCACAGATGCTCGAGCAAGCCAAGGCAGCCCCCGACTTCAACAACTACCTAGCCTTCATCTTCTCGAGTGCCCAATCTCCAGAGGGAGTTCCCTACAATGAGCAAGAGTATCACCTGGTCCGTTCGGCGGCCGGAATCATGCTAAAGAACAACGTGCGGACCGAGTGGAAGTCCTTCTCGCCCTCGAACCTGGAACTCGTCAAGCTCGCGGTCCCCATGTGCCTGCAGGACAAGAACTCGCAGATCCGCAACTTTGCCGGAAACATCGCCACCGAGATCATCCAGCGCGGTGGACTGCTCGGCTGGCCTGAGCTGCTGCCCCAGCTGCTCGACCTGGTTGGAAACGCGTCGGGCCGGTCGTCCAACGAGGCCCAGGAGGGTGCCATGTCGGCCCTGTGCAAGATCTGCGAGGACAACTTCCGGGCCCTCACGAAGGAGGTCAACGGCCAGAGGCCACTCAACTACGTCCTTCCCCAGCTCATTGCCGCCACCAAGAGCCCGCTGCCCAAGGTCCGCGCCTCGGCCCTGACGGCCATCAACGTCTTCACCCCGCGCAACTCGCAAGCCATGTTGAACTCGGTCGACGACCTCCTCCAGCATCTCTTCATCCTATCGAGCGACGCAGACCCGGACGTCCGCCGCCAGGTCTGCCGCGCCTTTGTCAACCTGGTCGAGACTCGGCCGGACAAGCTGCAGCCCCACATCGAGGGTCTGGTCGACTACATCCTCAGCCAGCAGACGAGCGAGGACGAGGAGCTCGCGTGCGAGGCGGCCGAGTTCTGGCTGGCCATCGGCGAGCATCACAACCTGTGGAAGGCCCTCGAGCCCTACATCAACAAGATCATCCCCGTCCTGCTGAGCTGCATGGTGTACAGCGGCGAGGACATCGCCCTGCTCGGAGGCCTCTCGGACGACGAGGAAGAGGAGGACCGCCAGGAGGACATCAAGCCGACCTTTGCGCAGAGCAAGAAGGGTCGCCTCGGCGCGAAGAATGCCGACGCGGCGGACGCCGACGGCGCCAAGCTGGGCGGCGGCTACGCCAAGGTCGGCATGGACGACGACGTCGAGGAGGGAGAGGTTGACGGGTTCGACGACGGAGACGACGCGAGCCCCGACGAGAAGTGGACGGTGCGCAAGTGCTCGGCGGCGGCGCTGGACGTGTTTGCCAGCGACTTCCACGGCCCCGTCTTCGAGGCCATCCTCCCGTACCTGTCGCAGAACCTCAAGCACGCGGAGTGGCCTCAGCGCGAGGCGGCGGTGCTGGCCCTGGGCGCCGTGGCCGACGGCTGCATGGACGCGGTGGTGCCGCACCTGCCGGAGCTGGTGCCGTACCTCATCTCGCTCCTCGAGGACCAGGAGCCGATCGTGAGGCAGATCACCTGCTGGACGCTCGGCCGCTACTCGGAGTGGGCGGCCAGCCTGGAGGACCCGGCGCAGAAGGAGCAGTTCTTCGTCCCCATGATGGACGGCATCCTCCGCAAGATGCTGGACAGGAACAAGAAGGTGCAGGAGGCGGGTGCGTCGGCGTTTGCCAACCTGGAGGAGAAGGCGGGGGCGAACCTGGAGCCGTACTGCGGGCCGATCGTGCAGCAGTTCGTGCGCTGCTTCGGCAGGTACAAGGACCGCAACATGTACATACTGTACGACTGCGTGCAGACGCTGGCCGAGCGCCTGGGCCCGTTCATGGCGCGGCCGGAGCTGTCGGGGCAGCTGATGCCGGCGCTGATCGAGAGGTACGGTGCGGTGACGGACCAGTCGCGGGAGCTGTTCCCGCTGCTCGAGTGCCTGTCGTACGTGGCGCTGGCGCTGGGCGACTCGTTCTCGCCGTACGCGCCGACCATCTTTGGGCGGTGCGTCGGCATCATCCACAACAACCTGGAGCAGACGCTGACAGCGGCGAGCAACCCGGGGATGGACCAGCCGGACAAGGATTTCCTCATCACCAGCCTGGACCTGCTGAGCGCCATCATCCAGTCGCTGGGCGAGGCCAAGTCGCTGGAGCTGGTGCGGTCGCCGCAGCAGTCCTTCTTCGAGCTGGTGGGCTTCTGCCTGGAGGACCCGGCGGACGAGGTGCGGCAGTCGGCGTACGCGCTGCTGGGCGACTGCGCGCGATACGTCTTCCCGGAGCTGCAGAAGTACCTGCCGACGGTGATGCCGATGCTGGTCAAGCAGCTGGACATGGACAGCGTGCTGGACGAGGACGTCGAGGCCAGCTTCGGCGTGGTCAACAACGCGGGCTGGTCGTGCGGCGAGATCGCGATGCAGTATGGCGAGGGCATGTCGCCGTGGGTGCCGGACCTGATGCAGCGCTTCGTCGAGATGCTGTCGAACCCGAGCGTGCCCAAGGGCCTGCAGGAGAACGGGGCGATCGCGCTGGGCCGGATGGGCCTCGCGTGCCCGGAGCAGATGGCGCCGCAGCTCGGCGTCTTTGCCGAGGACTTCCTGGCGGCCATGGTCGAGCTCGAGGACTCGGACGAGAAGGCGACGGCGCTCAAGGGCTTCTCGATGGTGGTGGCGCAGAACCCGCACTCGATGGAGAGCATGCTCAAGAATTACTTCGTCACCATCGCTCGGTACGACGACGGGAATCTGGAGGAGCCTCTCAAGACGGAGCTGCACGAGGTGTTTCAGAATGTGAGATGCCCTCTCGAATATATTTATATATATATATATGCCTCCGAACAGAGAGGAGAAGATGAGAAGAGAGAAGCATGGGCTAACCTGTACTCGACCACAGATCCTCTCGGCTTTCAAACAGATGATGCCCCAATTCGGAGACTTTATCAACCAGCTGCCCCAGGAGGAACAGCAGAGACTGACGCAAAAATTTACGATGTGATCTGAAGAGCAGAGGGACGGTTCCACGACAAGATTTTTCTTTCTCCTGACGAGCAAGGAAAGGGGATTGAGAGGGGGGCAGGGATGGGATGAGACAAGAAGACAAGAAGAGGGGGGCTACTTGTAAAAAAAAAATCTATAAAACAAAAAACAAAAAAACAAAACAAAAAAAGAGAGAGAGGGAGAGATAGAGAGAGACGCAGTGTCGAGAACAAGGAAGAAGAGCAGGATATACTAATCCCTCAGATGCACAGCGGAAGAGAAGACGAGGAAAGAAAGAGCAAGGGCCTAGGGAGTCTATACACACACACACACACACGCATACACACACAACACTGCCTTGGGGGTCCAAGGGAACCGGGATTTCTGATTCCGTCTACAGGATGAGGAGCGGGATGCATGGGCGGGCAAATATGGGAGGAGCATGGTAAGAGTATTCCTCATTCTTTCTTCTGTCTAGAGAAAGTCGGGGATGACTGATCAGGGATGGCCGGTCAGGGATGTTTCTTTTTCTTTTTCAGAGAAGAGAAGGATCAGTGCATGGGGATATGGAAAAAAAAAAAAGGATCGTCATCCCTATGAGAGAGAGAGAGAGAGAGAGCGAAGCAAACGAGAAAAAAAGTGTCTTGGAAGAGAAGGGGGGGGGGAGGAGTCTTTTTTTTTTCTCTTTTTTTTTCTCTTTTTTTTTTCCCATGGTCATTTTCTTTTATGTTAGGCTCTTACTCCCATCATTTTATATATATAGTTACCCTAGATTAGATTTTTATTTTTTTTTCTTCTTTTTCCCATCATCTCTAAATATTTTTTTTCCTCTCACCTGCTCTATTACTCTTGCTCTCATCTTTTTTTGTCATTCTCACCTCGTACTCTTCAATCCCTACATCAGATGGGGCTTTTTTCTTTTCTTTTTCTCTTCTCTGAACAAGGATGCATTAGATGGAAATCACTTTTTTTTTTCTTTTCCCAATTGGATCATGCATGATGTTTCTGTGCCGTAGCCTGCAGGAGTGTGAGCGTGTAGGGTAAGCACACTAATGTGACGCAGCTCCATGATTGAGTCTCGGTGGTAGATTATGGAGTACAGACGTGTTCAGCAGGAATTGCCTATTCTAACAAGAGAGGAGACGGATGATCTGACGAGAGAGGAAAGATGACCTGACGAGAAGAGAAAAAAAAAAGAATTACAAAACTACATCTATACTTGCCATGATGCGAATGTAATCAGCTTGCAGTTGCAAGTTGCATGTGCATGTGCATTAGCAGAGAGCCTTTTTTAAATACATATATAGATAAATACATATATAAATAGATAAATATATATAAATGTACATTGGTTTCGCCTATAGCTGGCAATACCTGATTCTCTAGGTGGTACTGGTCCCATCCATTACAAGAAAAAAAGAAGGCCATGTAATATTGCCCAAGGATGAAAGAGCTTACAGCTACCTACTCGCTCTTGATGGCTAGAACGCTAGGAAAGGTGTGTACTATTTCCCTCCATCCTTGGGTAATATCATATCGTCTTCTTTTTTTTTGCTGGTTTGTCTTGTCACCTCCTACAATCTCTACTCTTGAGCAGAGAAGTGACGGTTTACAAACACCGCCAAAACGCCGTATGATTGTTACTCCGGCCCGGATCTGGGCCTCAGACCTCTAAGCAGAACATCACCGACAATGGATGTATAGATGTATAGACGTATAGATGTATAGATGTATATACAGTCTCATCCTCCCTCCCTTGGATAGAAGATTGACATGACTACCGGGGCCTTTTCTTCTTCTGAAAGGGGCCAAAGCACCTCCATCATCTCCATACAACGCGCCGCGTGAAAAGGCGAGACCGGCGGTAGCGAGACGGCGCCGGAATAAAGGTCTACGACCGGGGACGACTCGTCGCAAGTCTGTCGTCTTGTCGCATTCCCTCCACACGAGAGCGATGAATGGCAATGGATGGCGATGATGGCAAGTGGCAATGAATCCAACTAGACATGGCACCCCCGGGGGGGGGGGGGGCCAAGCCTACAAGAGATGGCCAAGTCTTCCTGGGGAGGAAAAATGGCCAAGCCTCTCGAAGCAGAAACGGCCAGCCGTACTCGGTAACAGGATGTATGACTGATCCGTCCGTTTTCTTGGTAAGATGGAAAAAAAAAAAAACAAACAATGGTATTTTTTTTTTTTTGTACTCTTCTTCCGTATTCTTATGCTCTTGTCTTCCTCCTCGACCAACTAGAAAAATACAGAAACCATGCTGCATGGAGAATGGTTATTCCGGAACCGATGTCGCTGCCTCAGGCCAGTGGTAAACCATTACCATCTCACCTGTTTTATATATATAGCCTTGTGAGCTGGAACAGCAAGTAAAGATGATGACAAACCGCTACGGCCCTTCATCTGGAAGGGGGGGGGGGGGTGTGGTCTGGTGCACCTTGCGTGATCGTCTACTAGCTACGCGCGCTATTGAAGGTAAGCAACGATATGACCACTACAATATTCTTCTTGCCTGGACACTTTTCTTGACATGTTACACCAAAAAAAAAAAAAAAAAAAAGGAAGAAGAACAAATACATTCTACCAATGGCAAGGTTTCCATGTATTCGTACTACCAAAAAAAACAAGGTGGAAAAATAAGACGGGTAGAAGGATGCCAATATGACAATAGAGAAGTATATATATATGTATATATATATGTATATATATATCTAATAAAGAATGAGTGGATGGGTGGAAGAATGAATAAAGCATTGAAAAAGATGTTTCGATATGAATGCATATTATGTATATATATATATATATATATGTATAATGCAAGTTTCCAACCTCTTCTGTACATTGTATAGTCCTACCTGGGAGTTAACCTGGTTAGTATTGAATCATTAGGCTGTCAGGGATGATGTGGGATGTAATACTCCTTTAGAGCCTAGAGGGGGTTTTTTTTTTCTCGATTCATCTGTACGAGTATCTATTCCGCCGAAATCCGCACCGTGAGAAGGTTTGAACTAAAATACCATTCACACTTTTATTTTAAATCAAATATATATATATATATATAAATAAAAATAAACGTCTCTCTTTCTCTCCACTTCAAGGTCCGATTTCGCCCCCCCCCCCCCCTTCCATATTTTTACGAAGGAGAAGGAGAGGGAAGGAAGGGAAGGGAAGGGTATAGATCTCTATTCTTCTCATTTTTCGTCATTTATCGTGAAATCGGGCCCCCCTCCCTTTCTGATGAGGTGTCGTGAAGAGGTGTCGATGAAAGGAATCGACCCTCTTCTTCTTTCTTCTTCCTTCTTCTTCTTCTCTTCTTTTTTTCCGGTTGTTGTTCTTGATGTTCTTGTTCTTGTTTCGAATCTGTAGACATGGATATGTAGCCATGGATATGTAGCCGTACACTACAGAGTCAAGAGTCCCTCGCGTGTATCGTGAAAACTAAAAAGTGGGAAAGGCTTGAAGAAAAAAAGGAGAAGAGAAAGAAACGTTACAGCACGACCGTCGAAAGCCGCATACTCTTACCTGCGTAGATGCTACCGAGCATTACATGTATATATACGATGTACGATATATACACGTTATTGTCATGTTATGGCACAGCACTTATATAGCATAAGCAGGACATGTTTCCCTTTTTCCTCTCTCCTCTCTCTCTGTCAAGCTCACACTTGATCAATATGCAAGGGTAACCCTCTCTGTTTCGGTGTAGAGGGTAGGATGCAATGCTCGAGAATATACGGAGTGACGTGTACGGAGCGCGGAGTAATGTAGCGGCATGGAGTCGTGACTGGTGAGGGAGAGGGAGAGAGAGAGAGAGAGTACGGAGTATGATCGGTATGGAGTAGGGAGTGATGGTGACGGGTAGGAGAGTACGAGTATGAGTACGGATACAGATTACACATATATAACATACAATATATAACACCCAGCATGATACTCGTCATCTAACTCCGTACYCYCCSYMCTCTYCGKTCCCGCTCATCTCGATGTGGGTTGAATCCGTAACTCCGAGGGCGGTCAAACTGTGCTGGGTCGTGTCATGGTCTGTAGATGAGATGACATTTCTCACCACAACTCTTTTTTTATTTATTATTTATTGTTTATTATTATCATCTTCCTTGGAAATTTTTTTTTTTTTTGATATCCTCTTAGCATGCTATACCGTCCGCCCGCCGCCGCCCCCCTTTTTTTATCATCACTCCATCTCCTACATACTTCTCTTCTTTCCCTTCACACTTCGGGAACTCTACAGCCCTGAAACTCTCCGTAAAGCCTCTCCGTCTAAACCTGAAGAAGAGTCCGACATTATATGGAAAGCAACCGACGTCTAGAACAGACCGGCACCTAGAATCGATACCGGCATATGTAAGACAGAATCGATACCGGCATCTAGAATCAGACCGGCATCTAGAATCAGACCGGCATCCAGAACCGACCGGCATCCAGAACAGACCGGCATATAGAATGTCACCGCTTCTAACCTCCCTCTCCCCCCCCCCCCCCCCCCCCCCAAAAAAAAAAAAAAAAAAGACGCTCTATCGTATATTGACGAGTTGGACAGTCACGACGGCTACGCTCCAACATTAATTACCGAGTACGGATAGATAGATGACATGGTTATTTGCCATTTGCAATCTGTAATCTGTAGCATGACTTACGTGAACCTTGTACTCTGTCATCTTTCTTTCCCCGAGTTTCTCTCTCAGACATTCCCCTCCCCCTTGTCCAGCTCTTCTCCGTCTTCCCACCCTGCACTCTTTCCGTCTCCTCCCGTAGATTCGACCATGTGTCTCAGGATACGCACAGGACGGGGTTGGGTCGGGTCGGGTTGGGTTACACAGCGTCAACGGCAGCAAGGGTCAGATACTTTTTCACTCCTCCGGCAGAGGAAACAAGCTGATTTGATGCCTGGGGTACGGGATAGTGATTGAATGGTTAGAATGGTAGCAGTAGCCTTGCGGGTGATTCCAGTTCCGCGATGCCGGGGGGGGGGGGGGGGGGGGGGGGGGGGGG